AGGAATGACAACGATGACTTCAAAGGCGACCTGCCCAATAGCCGGGCACAAGAGGGGGAGAGAGCCTACGGAGCAGCAGGAGGGACCACTCGTCCGCGGCATGTGCGACAAAGTCACTAGGTGCCTCCACGACAATCTGACCAAGAGGCAACGCCTCGATACCGACCTAGGCGTGGCCACTAGAGAAGTGGTCGAAAGTGGCAATGGAGAGCACAGGCAAGGCAACACCTCCGACGCGGCGATGGCAGCTTGGGAGGCACATCGCCAGCGTCTACAGGAGTCGCATGACAAGCGTCGGCGAGAACTTAACACCCCTTTAGCACGCCCGGCACTCACTAAATGCGACAACTCAGCGACATGTGGTCCCCGATTAGCCCGAAGACAGGAACGGAGGCGCAAATCAGGAGTTCCGCGGGGTCAAGGGGAAGGAGCGCGGCGAGGCCCGCAAGCCCGGGGGCAGCAGGAGCCGCAGGCTGGGGGGAGCAGGAGCCGCAGGTTGGGGGGGAGCAGGACCCGCAGACTGGGGGGGAGCAGGACCCGCAGACTGGGGGGGAGCGGGACCTGCAGGCTGAGGGGGAGCAGACGTTGGAGTTGGAGATGGAGATGGGGAGGCAATGGGAGCTGCCTATTGGAAGGCAGCAAAAGCTGCAGGATGGGGGGCAGCAGGAGCTGCAGGCTGGGAGGCAGCAGGAGCTGGAGGCTGGGGTTGAATGGGACCCGCAGGTTGGGAAGGAGCAGGAGCCGCAGACAAAGGGGCAGCAGGCTTTGGAGGCGGAGATGGAGATGGGGGGGCAGCAGCAGCTGCCGGCTGGAAGGCAGCAAGAGCTGCAGGCTGGAGGGCAGCAAGAGGGGCCGACCTGGAGGCGGCAGGAGCTGCGGGCTGGGAGGCAGCAAGAGGGGCCGGCTGGGGGGCAGCAGGAGTCGCAGGCTGGGTGGGATCAGGACCGGCAGGTCGAGGGGCAGCAGGCTTCGGAGGCGGTGATGGTGATGGAGATGGGGGGGCAACAGGAGCTGCCGGCTGGAAGGCAGCAAGAGCTGCAGGCTGGAGGGCAGCAGGAGCCGCAGGCAACGAGGCAGCAAGAGCTGCCGGCAGAGGGGAAGGAAGACCCGCAGGCTGGGGGGGAGCAGGAGTCGGAAGTGGACATGGAGATAGAGATAGGAATGGTAACGGAGCAGCAGGTCGAGAGACAGCTTGGGCTGCAAGCTGAGTGGCCGCAGGTGTTGGAGGTGGAGATGGAGGAGGCACAGGAGGAGGGGGGGGGAGAGCGGCAGGGAAGCGTACAGGAGGGGTGTCAAACGGAGAATCAGTCTCAGCCGCAAGAAGGGGAGCAGCAAGGGTGTCGAGAAAGGAACCGGCCCCAAGAGCGTAGAAGCATGCAACTTGAAGAGCCGATCAGTGGGTTGCAAGAGCAACAGGCGCGGGTTCAGCAGGGGGTCGCTAGCCCGGGCGGCGCAGGCCAAGCGAAAAGGTCGCGAGCTCGGGGCCGAAGAGGGAGACGACACGCAGCCAAGTTGCAAGGAGCATCCCAGGGCGAGCAGCAGCCAGGGGGTCAGCAGGGGTCGACAAGGGCGCCTCAGGGGGTGCTGCAGGCCGGGGAGGTGCCGGAGGCGACAGAGGCAACCCAGGGAGGGTGGCAGACCGGTGGTCGGGCGGAGAGGACTAGGGCACCCCGGGGAGTGCAGCAGCCAGGGGGGCAGCCGGGGGTGACAGGGGGACCCCATAGAGCGCCCGGAGCACCCCAGGGAGCGCAGCAGGCAGGAGGGGAGCCGAGGGTGCCCGGGGCACCCCAGGGAGTGCAGCAGGCAGGAGGGGAGCCGAGGGTGCCCGGGGCACCCCAGGGAGTGCAGCAGGCAGGAGGGGAGCCGAGGGTGCCCGGGGCACCCCAGGGAGTGCAGCAGGCAGGAGGGGAGCCGAGGGTGCCCGGGGCACCCCAGGGAGTGCAGCAGGCAGGAGGGGAGCCGAGGGTGCCCGGGGCACCCCAGGGAGTGCAGCAGGCAGGAGGGGAGCCGAGGGTGCCCGGGGCACCCCAGGGAGTGCAGCAGGCAGGAGGGGAGCCGAGGGTGCCCGGGGCACCCCAGGGAGTGCAGCAGGCAGGAGGGGAGCCGAGGGTGCCCGGGGCACCCCAGGGAGTGCAGCAGGCAGGAGGGGAGCCGAGGGTGCCCGGGGCACCCCAGGGAGTGCAGCAGGCAGGAGGGGAGCCGAGGGTGCCCGGGGCACCCCAGGGAGTGCAGCAGGCAGGAGGGGAGCCGAGGGTGCCCGGGGCACCCCAGGGAGTGCAGCAGGCAGGAGGGGAGCCGAGGGTGCCCGGGGCACCCCAGGGAGTGCAGCAGGCAGGAGGGGAGCCGAGGGTGCCCGGGGCACCCCAGGGAGTGCAGCAGGCAGGAGGGGAGCCGAGGGTGCCCGGGGCACCCCAGGGAGTGCAGCAGGCAGGAGGGGAGCCGAGGGTGCCCGGGGCACCCCAGGGAGTGCAGCAGGCAGGAGGGGAGCCGAGGGTGCCCGGGGCACCCCAGGGAGTGCAGCAGGCAGGAGGGGAGTTGAGGGTGCCCGGGGCACCCCAGGGAGTGCAGCAGGCAGGAGGGGAGCCGAGGGTGCCCGGGGCACCCCAGGGAGTGCAGCAGGCAGGAGGGGAGCCGAGGGTGCCCGGGGCACCCCAGGGAGTGCAGCAGGCAGGAGGGGAGCCGAGGGTGCCCGGGGCACCCCAGGGAGTGCAGCAGGCAGGAGGGGAGCCGAGGGTGCCCGGGGCACCCCAGGGAGTGCAGCAGGCAGGAGGGGAGCCGAGGGCGCCCGGGGCACCCCAGGGAGAGCAGCAGGCAGGGGGGCAGCCGGGGGTGCCCGGGGCACCCCAGGGAGTGCAGCAGGCAGGAGGGGAGCCGAGGGTGCCCGGGGCACCCCAGGGAGTGCAGCAGGCAGGAGGGGAGCCGAGGGTGCCCGGGGCACCCCAGGGAGTGCAGCAGGCAGGAGGGGGGCTGAGGGTGCCCGGGGCACCCCAGGGAGTGCAGCAGGCAGGAGGGGAGCCGAGGGTGCCCGGGGCACCCCAGGGAGTGCAGCAGGCAGGAGGGGAGCCGAGGGTGCCCGGGGCACCCCAGGGAGTGCAGCAGGCAGGAGGGGAGCCGAGGGTGCCCGGGGCACCCCAGGGAGTGCAGCAGGCAGGAGGGGAGCCGAGGGTGCCCGGGGCACCCCAGGGAGTGCAGCAGGCAGGAGGGGAGCCGAGGGTGCCCGGGGCACCCCAGGGAGTGCAGCAGGCAGGAGGGGAGCCGAGGGTGCCCGGGGCACCCCAGGGAGTGCAGCAGGCAGGAGGGGAGCCGAGGGCGCCCGGGGCACCCCAGGGAGTGCAGCAGGCAGGAGGGCAGCCGGGGGTGCCCGGGGCACCCCAGGGTACGCAGCAGGCAGGGGGGGGATCGATGGACGACCGGGAACAGCAGTTGGAGGAGTGGTGCCGACTTTTGGAGTTTGATACCCCCATGGCGACTGCGGAGGAGTCAGAGGCGGACGGAGAACCACCCAGTCCGCCTTCCCCATGCCCCCGTTTCCCGTGTGACACGTGTTTCCACACGTTCGCCACGAGAGGGGCCGCTGCGAACCACATGAGGGTATGCCGGGCGGCTGAGGCGGAGAGACGCGCGCAGGCACTTGGCTCGATCCCGTCTCTGGTGGAGACCGACACACAGGAGCGACCGACGCCGCGGGAATTTGGGGACGAGGCGTGGGCAGGGGTTAAGTCATGGGAGTGGGAGGCATTTTTCTGTGTGGAGGCGGTTGGAGGGAGGACAGTGCGCCGAATCCCGCAGCGGGCCCGGTCCGGGGTCTTAGACGCACTCTGTTGCATCTTGAAGCGGCTGAAGAGCCGACCGGGAGATGAAGCTGCTACCCTCCTACTCCTGGCGTTTCCGCGCCTCATCCTAGCCGTGCCTCCCAAGCCAGGCATAGGTCAGAAGGCGCTGATCATAGAGCGGCTGGGGGCCTTCTGGGAGGGGAGGTGGCGGGAGTTGTTCGACGCTGCCATGGCGGCGGCACGGCCAGCAGTTCGCCCACTTGCCTACACGTGCTCTGACCAGGACCCGGAGGCCATCCGCCTGTCACGGTGCCGATCTCGGTGTAAAGTGGGAGAGTGGAGCCGTGGTTTGTCTTGCCTCACAGCAGGAGAGTTGGCTCGACCAACTGAGGCTATGGTGCAGTCGCTGCGAGGGAAGCACCCAGCTAGCAGTGGCGAGGTACCACCGTGGGTTCGTGAGTTTACTGTCGACGCTCCTCAGCGGCCTCCACTCACGACCGACATTCTGGCTAGAGCTATCCACACAGCTGCTCGCGCCTCAGCTGCAGGGCCATCGGGATGGGTCACAGAGCATCTGCGCGACACTTTCCTCACGGAACCTTCCTGCCTCTCCCACCTGCTGGAAGTGTTCAACCAATGGGTGGCGGGACAGGTCCCCGAGCGAGCTCGGCCCTGGCTCGCCGCATCCAACCTAGTCGGGCTTTCCAAACCCAACGGTGACGTCCGGCCGGTGGCGATCGGGGAGGTGCTTCCGCGTATCCTCGCTCGAGCTCTCTGCATCTCGCTTCGCCCTGTGATGGCTTCTTATTTTCTGCCGTGTAACCAGCTGGGAGTGGGCACCAGGGCCGGGGTGGAGATTCTTACTCATTCTTTCCGGTCAGCGCTGGCCACTCACCCCGACTGGTGTGCGCTGCAGATAGATGTCGCGAACGCCTTCAATTCGTTTCATCGCCACGCGATGTTCGAGGGGCTGAAGGAGTCGCCTTTCTCAGGAATGATCCCATTCTTGCGTGTCTTCTATGGGACACCTAGCGACCTGTACCTCCGAGCGGGCCCTTTCGTACAGAGTCTTGAGTCGGCACGAGGATCGCGACAGGGGGACCCGCTCGGCCCTTTTCTTTTCGCTTTCACGCAGCAGCAGGTGCTGGGGACGGTGACTAGAGAGTTCAGGGACCTACTTTTCTTGAGCTATGCAGACGATACCAAACTAGAGCCCCATACTTTGTGATGAAGAGCCTGCATTCCGTTGGCCGTCCGATGTTTCCGGCCGACCTAACGGCTTCCGTTGACGACCTGCCGTACCTGCTGACGTCAGCTCGGGCGAACATCGACGGCTGTGTCGAGGGGCTGCAAGAATTCGCGCCGGATGCGCTGGATACGGCGCCGGGAATTCGGCTTCGGTCGGAAGTCACGCTCATTACAGTCACAGTCGCCGCAGCCCACGCGTGCGTCCCGTGCGCAATCGATGACGAGCTTTCCGCCTCAGTAGGCGGAGATTCTTCCACCGATGATTCTGCTGATTATTCCGCCGAGTCTTCTGCCGATGCTTATGAGTATGACTACCCCTCGCTCCCTAGCCGCCGAATCACAACGGAAACGGACCAATCAGGCGACAGCGGCGCGCCTGGGTGGGTAAATCCTGGGATTTTCAAGCACCTGAAGCGCATTCAGGCGGCGCACATGCGCGGCGGAGACGCGTGGGACGCGCCGGGCGCGCGGAGACTCCTTGGCTTGGATGGCGCAGAGACAGGGGACGACGCGGCAGGAGCGGAGGCAGCAGACGCAGCGGCGCAGAGTGACTCTATCCTGCGCCGCTTAACCGACGAGGGCGTGGCTTCCGCTTATAGCGGGGACGCGGGTGATTCGCACGAATCTGGCGACACGCTTCGGAGGGGGCTGCAAAGCAGCAGCAACGGGAAGACGAGCAAAATGGGCGTACAAGTGGGAGGGATTTTGGATACGAGCGGCTTTAACGGCCAATACAGCAGCCTGCTGCCGCCCCGAGTGAATGCGATCGTTGCTAAGGACGGCTCCGGCACGCACAGGACGCTCAAGGTAAGGATGACGGCTAGCGGTGAGAGTAGACGGACAGAGTGTGGTGTGACGGCTAGCCAGTAACATAGGAGGCGAGGGACGCCCCAGGAGAATGCGATCGTCGCTAAGGACGGCTCGGGCACGCACAAGACGCTCACGGTAAGGATGACGGCTAGCGGTGGACAGACACAGGGTTGTTTGACGGCTAGAAGTGAGAGTAGACGGAGACAGAAGGTGAATGCGATCGTCTCTAAGGACGACTCCACACAGGACGCTGACGGTAACGAGAAGAGGGACGGTTAGCGGTGAGACTACTAGTCTAGTAGACGGACACACCATGTGGGTGGTGTGGCGGCAAGATACAGTACCTCTTTCCTGCCTCTTATGATATACATTTTTTCCGCCTATTTTCCTTCTTTCCTCGTTTCTTGCAGGCTGCAATTGCCTCCGCACCAATGAAGGGCACTTTCGTTATTTTCATCAAAAGAGGAGTGTACGACGAGCAGATTCTCTTTGACAACCAGGGTATTGTTTTGGTGGGAGAAGGAATGGGCAAGACTGTCATCACAGGCAAGAAGAGCGTGGTTGGCGGATCAACCACGTTCAACTCTGCTACTCTTGGTAAGCACTCTTCCTCTCTCCGTCTCCCCTCGCTGGGATTGTCTTGGTTGGAGAGGGAATCATGGGCAAGACTGTCATGACTGGAAAAAAGAGCATGCCACGTTCAACTCTGCTACTCTTGTTCAGTACCCTCCCTCTCTCCTTATTTGGTGGTATTGTTTTGGTGGGAGAAGGAATGGGCAAGACTGTCATCACGGGCAAGAAGAGTGTGGTTGGCGGGTCAACCACGTTCAACTCTGCTACCCTTGGTCAGTACCCTTCCTCTCTCTCCACCTCTCCTCTTTACTTCATCAAGGCAGGAGTGCATGACGAACAGGCTCTCTTTGACAACCACGTGAATTTTACTTTTGAGAATTCTCAAAAGTAAAATTCACGTAGCTGACAACCAGGGTATTGTTCTGGTGGGAGAGGGAATGGGCAGACTGTCATCACGGGAAAGAAGAGTGAGGTTGGGGGGTCAACCACCTTCAACTCTGCTACCCTTGGTCAGCACTCTTCCCCCCTTCCACTCCCCTCCTCCTCTCTCTCCTTTTCCTCTCTTTCCTCTTCTCTCACTTCCCTCTCAACGCAGCCGGAGCCGGGCCAGTGGGCCAGCAGGCACTAGCTCTGCGCTCCCTCATCTCTCTCCCCCCATCTATCCCCCACCCACGCTCCCTTTCCCCCTTTCTTCCCTCCCCAGGCGCCAACAAGGGCATGCTGACAGCGCTGGGAGTCATCATCCGCAACACAGCCAGGCCAGTGGGCCAGAAAGCAGTGGCTTTACCCTCACAGCAGGCGGCAGTATTTCCCCTCACCCTCACCTTCACACCCCCACCGTCCCTCCTCCCCCTCTCCCTCTCCATCTCCCTCTCTTTCGCGTTCCCCCACCCCCAGGCGCCAACAAGGGCATGTTTACGGCCCTCGGAATCACCGTGCGAAACACAGCAGGGATAGTGGGGCAGCAGGCAGTGGCCCTTCGCTCCGAAGACCTCTCAGCCTTCTTCGAGTGCGATTTTGACGGCAACCAGAACTCGCTCTACCCTCACAGCGGGCACAACACAGACCTCCTGTCACGCTCACCCCCCCACCATCCCGAGTTTGACGGCAACCAGGACTCGCTCTACCCTCACAGCGGCGTACCTCCTCCCACCCTCACCCCCCCACCTTCCGTCCCTCTCCGTCTCTCTCGCTCTCTTTCCCGTCCCCCCCCCACCTCCACTCCAGGCGCCAACAAGGGCATGTTTACGGCCCTGGGAATCACCGTGCGCAACACAGCGGGGGTAGTGGGCCAGCAGGCAGTGGCCCTTCGCTCCGAAGACCTCTCAGCCTTCTTCGAGTGCGATTTTGACGGCAACCAGGACACGCTCTACCCTCACAGCGGGCGGCAGTATTTCCGCGACTGCAAAGTGGGCGGCACGGTGGATTTTATCTTCGGGAAGGGCGCAGCCGTGTTCGACCGCCCGCAAATCAGGCTTCATAAGGACGATCCCGTGATAATCACTGCACCACAGAACGACCCGACGTACCCGGAACCCAAGGGGCTTATTATCCGGAATGCGGTGATTACTGCGGATGCGGGTGTGGGAAAGGCGTAGCTGGGACGGCCGTGGACGAACACGGGCAAGGCGATTTTCATCAACTGCTTCCTGCCTAAGGTGAGACAGGTTGCCCTGATGCTTTATAACTTTACCGCTTCCCCCAATGCTTCCCAGAGCGCGCATGCCACGTGCCAGCTGGCGGCATGCCACCCCACCCCACCCCACCCCACCCCACCCCACCCCACCCCACCCCACCCCACCCCACCCCACGTCACCTCACTCCACCCCACCCCACCCCACCCCACGTCACCTCACTCCACCCCACCCCACCTCACCTCACGTCACCTCCCCACCGCACCCCCACCCCACCACCCCACAACACCTCCCCATCCCTTCACCCCTGCAGGAGATCCAACCTGCTGGGTGGATGACGTGGGACACGGACACCGTGAGGCTCGCCAGGAAGAACGGCGTCACCTCCCCACCCCACCCCACCCCATTTCACCCCATCCCACCTTACTCACCTCACCATCCCACCACTTCACATCCCAGGAGATTCAACCTTCTGGGTGGATGACGTGGGACGCTGACACCATGAGGCTCGCCAGGAAGAACGGCGTCTATTTCGCAGAGTTTCAAAGCACGGGGCCCGGAGCGCGCATGCCGCGTGCCAGCTGGGTGTCGCCGCAAACGATTGTTAACCCCGGGCGATTCACGGCAGAGAAATTCCTCGGCTGGACGCGCAAAGGCTGGGCGGGGATGGGGGCGTGATAATGGCAACAGCAGGGAGTGTTGGGCTGGGGGGTGACGTTGTACTTGTTGCTTCACTGCCACATCCCAGCTGGGTATTGCCGCAGACGATTGTCAACCCCGGGCGATTCACGGCAGAGGCTTTCCTCGGCTGGACGCGCAAAGGCTGGGCGGGGATGGGGAAGTGATGATGGCAACAGCGGAGAGTGTTGGGCTGGGGGGTGGGGGGTGGGGGTTGGGGGGTTGGGGGGTTGACGTTGTACTAGTTGCTTCACTGCCACATGCCAGCTGGTGGTCGCCGCAGACGATTGTCAGCCCTGGGCGATTCACGGCCGAGGATTTCCTCGGCTGGGCGTGCAAAGGCTGGGTGGGGACGGTGAAGTGATGATGATAGCAGGAGGGATATAATGGGAGGGCGATAGCAGGAGGGTAATGGCAGGAGGGTAATGGCAGGAGGGTAATGGCAGGAGGGTAATGGCAGGAGGGTAATGGCAGGAGGGTAATGGCAGGAGGGTAATGGCAGGAGGGTAATGGCAGGAGGGTAATGGCAGGAGGGTAATGGCAGAAGGGTAATGGCAGGAGGGTAATGGCATGAGGGTAATGGCAGGAGGGTAATGGCAGGAGGGTAATGGCAGGAGGGTAATGGCAGGAGGGTAATGGCAGGAGGGTAATGGCAGGAGGGTAATGGCAGGAGGGTAATGGCAGGAGGGTAATGGCAGGAGGGTAATGGCAGGAGGGTAATGGCAGGGGGGTAATGGCAGGAGGGTAATGGCAGGAGGGTAATGGCAGGGGGGTAATGGCAGGAGGGTAATGGCAGGAGGGTAATGGCACGCCGTATCTGATTCTCCAACACGCCGGCGACAACAGATGAGCTCCTGAAGAAAGTCGGTTAAAAACCGAAAGTAAACCGAAAGATGGTAAATGGTGTTAGAATCTAGCAGCAAGAATGATAAACTAACAGCATGCAGGAGTACAAGTAGGAAACCCTAATTGGGTTGTACCCCATATGGGCTACCCCACTACAGCCTAGACAATATGCAGCATATATGTTTGACACACCCCCATAGGCAAAGTGGGGGAGAACAAGGGGTCACACGACCAGTCAAGAGACGCAAAGCAAGCTCAGGGTGGATCTCAACGTCACCACACATTCTGAGCACAAGCAAAGGGCCGCAAGGCCAGTCCACATGCAGAGATATATATAAGCAACAAGAGCAGTACAGTGATCAATACCTAGCAAGAGCAAGCATGCAGGTATAAATATAGAGCACAGTACACACAAAAGACTACAGCAAGTGTGGAAACGTAGGCACAAGGCCTAACAAAGTACAAAAGCGCTGATGATCACCAGACGGAAGTGCCTTGGTGAATATATCAGCAGTGTTGGCCCGAGTGGCCACGTGTGCAAGACGAAGCTGACCACGCTGCTGCAACTCTCGAGCCAGAAAGTACCGCAGAGCGATGTGCTTCGTTCTGTGCTCCAGTCTGTGCTCCTCACACAAGGCAATGGCAGCCTTGTTGTCGACGTACAGCACTGGAGGAGAACGAGGCCGCTCTCCCAGGTCGGTCAGCAGGTAGGTGAGCCAGCGTAACTCCTGAGCAGCCATGGCGGTGGCGTAGATCTCAGCCTCACAACTGGAGCTGAGAACAGAAGACGAGCGAGTAGAACGCCAAGAAACAGAACCAGAGCCAAGGCTGAAAGTGTAACCCTGTGACGACCGCTGCGTAGCCTGGTCGTCAACCCAAGAAGCGTCTGAGTGCCCAGTGAGGACCACCTCTCGCCGTCCTCCAAGCACGAGCCCCATGCCCGATGTACTGCACAAGTAGCGCAGTACCCTCTTCGCAGCATCCCAGTGCACCTTTCGGTGCCGACCAGGAGCCACGTAGCGAGCCAGAAGGCCAAGAGGGTACGCAAGGTCAGGACGAGTGCAAGTCATCAAGTACATGAGGCAGCCCACTAGCTCTGGGTAAGGACCACTCGGCTCTACGGACTCATCCGAAGGCAGAGCTGAGAGCGAGTGACCTATGGCCAGAGGAGTGGCCTGTGCTGAGGACCAGGTGAAGCCGAAGCGCTGAAAGACCTGCTGCACCATGTGTGACTGAGTCAGGGGGGGACAGCGGGGGGGGGAGCGGGGCAGTGCGGTAGGGGAAGAGACGGTAAAAGGGAACCGACTCGTCGAACGTGACGTCCTGAGACGCAAAGACACGGCGCGAGGTGGGGTGGTAAAACTGCCAACCAGGCACGTCAGGGACAAAGCCAAGGAAGACACAGGGGACAGCGCGGGCGGAGAGCTTGTCCGCAGTGGTATCGCGGACAAAGGCACGAGCACCCCAGACCCGGAAACGCGACGCATCGCCCACCTTCCCCGTCCACAGCAGTGTGGGCGAGGTCTCCGGCAAGGAGACACGGGGCCAGAGGTTGAGCTGATGCGCGGCGTACCGGACCGCAAACGACCACAGAAAATGGGGGGCAGCCGCATGGATCATGGAGGTACGAGCGATCTCCATGACTAAGCCAATGCGGCGCTCAGCAACCCCATTCTGCTGCGGAGAGGCCGGAAGCGTGAACGACTGGGTGATGCCGTGCTCCGCACAGTAGGCTGCCAAGAGGTCTGAGGTGAACTCACCGCCTCTGTCAGAGTGCAGACGCAGGACAGAAAAGTCCCGCTGGAACCGCTCGCGGAGCTGGAGACGGGCAGCGCGGATCCAAGGGATCAAAACATCAGGGACGTCCCCCTTGCTGCGCAAGGGGAAGACCGTGGTGTAACGCGTGTAGTCGTCGTCCACCAGCAGGAAGTACCGCTCGTGGCCCTGTCCACGGACACGGGCTGGGCCCCACACGTCCAGGTGGAGAGTCTGCAGAGGAGCCTCTGTGGGAGGGAACGAGGAGGAGTGAGGAGCGGCGCGCTGCCGCCCCTCGACGCAAGGAATGCAGGGCGGCGCAGGCGAGGGAGGTAGGGCAGGCAGAGACCTGGGAAGACCAGAAACCAGGGAGCGAGAGTGCATGCTACGAAGGCGAGGCAGGGAGGGGTGACCAAGGCGGTGGTGCCACAGGAGAGTGTCGTGCGACAAAGCGCGACACTCGCAAGGGGCCGCCAGCTGACCAGACACAGACGCAGACGCAGCTACCTGACGGGACTCAGTGGTGAGTGTGTACAGACTCGAGCCAGGCGCACGGGTAAATGTGGCCAGGTGTCGGCCCGTCCGAGCACACGTACAGTGAGTCACTCGCTGACCCGCAGGAGTGAACTGGTGAACCCCCCCATCCTGGAGGTCAGCTCCACTCACCAAGTTCGTAGAGAACGAGGGGAGGTAAAGACCTGACAGCGAGCCAGACGGGGCGGCCGGACACGGCAGAACCGTGGAGTAGTGGGCAAGGACAGGACCCCCAGAGGGGTCCGCCAGGGAGACTGGAACTGGCCGATTAAGCGGCGTGAGTGTGGTGCAGTCGCGAAAGAAGGAGCGGGAAGCTCCTGAGTCAAGGGTGAAGGTGTGCAAGACCGCAGCAGACGCAGTACCAGAGAGAGCAGACTCACCAGCACCTGGAGCCGCAGCCTCACCAGCACCGAGAGCAGGAGACGTACTAGCACCTAGAGCAGCAGCCTCACCAGTACCTAGAGCAGGAGACGCACTAGCACCTAAAGCAGCAGCCTCATCAACACCGAGAGCAGCAGGCTCTATACCAGGGTCAGGCGGTACGCACAGGTAACAGGCACGGTCAGCACTAGTAGGCAATGCATACATGGCAGTGAGAATAGCATCATAGTCAGGAGCAAAGATATCTACCCTCTGTCCAAGCAGCTCCAGCCAGGCGGGGAGCTCAGCCTCGTCGCCAAACACTGTACGCCAGTCGTCGCTCAGTTTGGCGAAGCAGCGGGACTGTGTGTGACCAAGCGTCCCGCAAGGCTGACCAACCCGATCACCTGTGCGAATGACGTACTGGCAGCGAACTGTACGCGTAGACTTGCTACAATGAGCATACCACTCGTGGAGCTGCCGGGACGTAAGTGTCTCGCGTGGACGCCGCTGCAGCTGCAGCTGGCCACTGCCAGACGCTCCCAACTGACCAGCTCCAGGGGGACAGCTACGACGGCTACCGCGACAACCCCAGCTAGTATACCACTCACTAAGCTGCTGGGGCGTGAGAGACTCACGTGAACGTCGCTGGAGCTGCATCTGGCCACCTGCCAGTAGCAGTAGCAGCAGCAGTAGCGCGGGCAGGGCAGGCGCGGCAGGCCTACAGGCAGGCAAGCCAGCAGGCAGACAGACAGGCAGGCCGGCAGGCAGGCAGGCAGGCAGGCAGGCAGGCCGTCAGGCAGGCAGGCAGACAGGCAGGCCGGCAGGCAGGCAGGCAGGCAGACAGGCAGGCCGGCAGGCAGGCAGGCAGGCAGGCAGGCAGACAGGCAGGCAGGCTGGCAGGCAGGCAGGCAGGCAGGCAGGCAGACAGGCAGGCCGGCAGGCAGGCAGGCAGGCGCTCACCAAAGGCTGGAAGAGCAGGCGCTCGCCGGGCGAGCAGGGCCGGCGCTCGACGGGCGGCGGCCGAGTAGGCGCACGACAGCGGCGACGTCGGGGCCGCAACACCGGGTGCAGAGTAGGGCCGAAGCAGCTGCAGGGCGGGGCCGCTTCAGCGGCAGTTGCAGGGTGGGGCCGCGTCAGCGGCAGGTCGGGGCCGTGGCAGCTGCAGGGCGGGGCCGCATCAGCAGCAGGTCGGGGCCGTGGCAGCTGCAGGGCGGGGCCGCATCAGCGGCAGGTCGGGGCCGTGGCAGCTGCAGGGCGGGGCCGCATCAGCGGCAGGTCGGGGCCGAGGCAGAGGGACGCGCGCGGCTCGGCGCGGGCTGCGCTGACAGCGCGCTGGGCTGCTGCAGGCCGCGCGCGGCCGCGCTAGGCAGTAGCGGGCCGCGCGCGGCTCGGCGCGGGCTGCTGCGGGCCGCACTCGGGTCGCGCGAGGCCGTAGCAGGCCGCGCGCGGCTCGACGCGGGCTGCGTGGGCTCGGTGCGGGCTGCGCGCGGCTCGGTGCGGGCTGCGCGGGCTCGGTGCGGGCAGCGCGAGGTAGCAGCGGGCTGCGCGCGGCTCGGTGCGGGCTGTTCGCGGGCCTGAAGGGCGTGTAGGGGCGGCGCGCGGGCCTTACGGGCCTCTAGGGGCAGCGCGCTGGCCTAGGGCAGCAGGAGGCAGCGCTAGGGCTGCTGGACGGCTCGCGTAGTGCAGCACGTCACAAGGCAAGGCAAGGCAGGCAGGTACGTGGGGTAGCGCGGTAACCGCAGCGGTAGGTGGGCCCGAAAAAAAAACGGTCCTACGGACCTTAGTGCTCTGAAACCATGTTAGAATCTGGCAGCAGGAATGGTAAACTAACAGCATGCAGGAGTACAAGTAGGAAACCCTAATTGGGTTGTACCCCATATGGGCTACCCCACTACAGCCTAGACAATATGCAGCATATATGTTTGACAAATGGGAGTTACTGCAACCTCAGCTGGACGGCACGCCGCGCTTCATCATTGGCTGCTTTTGTCAGAATCTGTAGAATGTTATCGCGACACATGTTGTTTAATAATCTTGTATCATTATTATAATTATGTATCCGGTTGGCTGGAATTCCGTACTAATCTTCATCGCGTGCTGTTGCGGTTCGCGGCTTGCCGTCCCAGCACGGAGAAATAAACTAAACGCCGATAGAAATAAACTAAACGTCGGTGTTGCACGGGTGACATGCTATCTGGGAGGCATCAGCCCTCAACACCGTGTTGCAAGGTGTGTATGTATGGCCCGCTAGCAGGAACCAAGGGTTACTAGTACTTAAGTCCGCTGACCAAAGGGTTGGCCCAACGTACCAGGCAGGCCCAAACATGGTACTTGTTATCAGCAGGATGAATCTAACGACTTTTGTCAGCGCTAGAGAGAGGCCCCCCTTTTGTCGCTATATGGTATAGCGAATGCTGGATTTGTTCAGCGCTAGAGAGAGGCGCCCCTTTTGTCGCTATATGGTATAGCGAATGCTGGATTTGTTGTGCCTCTTTGTTACAGGTGCAATGTACAGTACGGTACAGCTACACAAAGCCTGATGGTGCATGCAAATTCGGCTTTGTACAACTTCACAAGGCCTTGCATCAAACAAAGGCCTCACTCTCACAGAGGTGGGATGGAGTGGAGACACACAGCAGAGCCTTGAAACCATTTTGCACTCCTGATACACTGCGCTCCTAATCAACATAGGGTACCATATTGAAATACTCCATTCAACAGATTCAGCTACCGTATTCAATTGCATTCCTGCAGACCCCAATTGACATGGATTCGGCATGGTAAAATACAGCATAAGACATGAAGATGCTCCACTCCTCCACTCTATCACCCATGGCTCAGAACCACACCCGCACGAAGCAACTCCGCTTTTGAGTCGACTCAAAAGCAGATCACCCACGGCTCAGAACCACACCCGCACGAAGCAACTCCCTGCGCGCCCTTTCACCAACCTTGCTTGCCTCCACCTTCAAATCACGCAACTTCGGGAAGCTTCCCAGCAGCCCCCCAACCCCATCGCCAGTGATCGCATCACACTGAAGCATAGTCAAATCAGTGAGCATACGCAACTTGCTTCTCGCCACCACCCGATCCGAAAAGTCCTCATTTTGTTTGACAATTAAAGCCACGAGCGCGGGGCAAGCATGCAGCAGCAGCACTAGCTGCTCCTCTTTCAGACAGAAGCACGACACCAGCGAGAGGCGCTTCAGCCGCCCGAAAACAGCAGCGAGTGCCACAGATTCAAACAACTGCGGCTGAGCGCTCAGCAATGCCCTTTTTGGAGGGCTTGGAATGGTTGAAACGGCAGCAGGAGAGAAGCGAGAAGAGGAGCGAGAGGAAGAGGGAGTCGAGGGAAGTGGCGAGGGTGCTAGACGAGAGGATCCATGGGAAAGTGCCGAGGGTGGTAGAGGAGAGGATCCATGGGTATTCACGAGGCACATGAGAGGCGAGGCCGAGGGAAGGGATGGAGGCAGCCAGGTAGGCTCGGGAGTGGTTCGGGTGAAGTGGAAGTCCCGGAGGGTTAAGGAGTGTAAGGGAGGACAGATGACCTCTACTGGAATTCCAGCAGTGCCCTTTTTGGTGGTGCTGCTGCCAGTTGATTTGCTTGTCATGCTTCTGCTGACCCGTGCAGCTCTGCTGCTGCCGACTGGTTTCGAGCTGTCATTTTGCTTCCTGCTGCTGCTGCCGCTGCCACCAGCACCAGCAGCAGCACCACCATCACCAGTACCAGTAGCACCATCACCAGTACCAGTAGCACCATCACCAGTACCAGTAGCACCATCACCAGCACCAGTAGCACCATCAGCAGCACCAGTAGCACCATCAGCAGCACCAGCAACACCAGCAACACCATCACCATCATCAGCAGCACCGGCACCACCAACACCAGCAGCAGCAGCAGCAGCAGCACCACCACCACCACCAGCACCACCACCAGCAGCAGCAGCACCACCACCACCATCAGCAGCGACAAGGCGGCCATCACCAGTGCGACGGTGCCGGCGCATGGCTCTGATGCTCGCCAGGGCCACACTCACCTGCTCATTGAACCGCTGCAGCAGCGACTCCATCACACTTAGAGCCTCCACCCGTGCGTCATCCCCATTTGCACCTCCTCCAATCTCACCCTCACTCCGTTCATCGTCATCATCAGCATCATAATAACTAGGCGAGTCTTCTTCGTCAGGCAGCATCCCATCAAAGTCCTCTAGCCGAGCCATTCTCCCGCCCCCTTCACCAGGCAGAATCCCGTCAAAGCCTTGCCCGCTCACACTATCCACAAACACGCCGGCAGTCGTGGCAGAAACAAACGCCTCTATCACCGCATCCTCTCTCGCCGTCGCCGCGTCTTGCTCAGAAACCGCCACCCGCAGCGCCTTGCACGTAGAGATAGCAGATCTGATTTTATTTGAGGCGGATTTGATCTCCGACAGGGCGTATTCAGGGCGGGCCGTGCGGGCCCACCGGGCAGAATCAGGGGCGGATGTGAAGGCCTTGCTTGTTGCTTCCATGAGATCTGACAGGTCTCTGCATGCTGCCACCAGGTCTGCTCTTGTTGCCGCTGCTGTCGTTCGAATGTCCACATACTCCTTTGCTCCTTTTCTTTGTTCCTTTTCCGTTCCTCTCCCGTTCCTCGAGTCAACTGCAAGTGGTGGTGCTTCTGCTGCTGCTGCTGCTGCTGCCGCCCTTCCTGCTCCCCCTCCTGCAACAGCATCCGCATCAAGTAACGCTCCTCTTGCACCCTCTCCTCTGCCAGCCTCTCCCCTGCCAGCCTCTCCCCTGCCAGCCTCTCCCCTGCCAGCCTCTCCCCTGCCAGCCTCTCCCCTGCCAGCCTCTCCCCTGCCAGCCTCTCCCCTGCCAGCCTCTCCCCTGCCAGCCTCTCCCCTGCCAGCCTCTCCCCTGCCAGCCTCTCCCCTGCCAGCCTCTCCCCTGCCAGCCTCTCCCCTGCCAGCCTCTCCCCTGCCAGCCTCTCCCCTGCCAGCCTCTCCGCTGCCAGCCTCTCCCCTGCCAGCCTCTCCCCTGCCAGCCTCTCCCCTGCCAGCCTCTCCCCTGCCAGCCTCTCCCCTGCCAGCCTTTCCCCTGCCAGCCTCTCCCCTGCCACCCTCTCCCCTGCCACCCTCTCCCCTGCCACCCTCTCCCCTGCCAGCCTCTCCCCTGCCAGCCTCTCCCCTGCCAGCCTCTCCCCTGCCAGCCTCTCCCCTGCCAGCCTCTCCCCTGCCAGCCTCTCCCCTGCCAGCCTCTCCCCTGCCAGCCTCTCCCGCTTCACATTCCTCTCTAACTACGTCTCCACCCTCCCCTCCTTCCTCCCCTTCTTCCTCCCCTCCTCCCTCTCGTCCTACCTCTCCTCCCTCTCGTCCTACCTCTCCTCCCTCTCGTCCTACCTCTCCTCCCTCTCCTCCCTCTCCTCCCTCTCCTCCCTCTCCTCCCTCTCCTCCCTCTCCTCCCTCTCCTCCCTCTCCTCCCTCTCCTCCCCTCTGCACCACGCGCACCAGCATACCCACAAGACTCTCAAACGACACCTGCTGAAGCACCACCCTTTCCTCCACATCCCCCTCTCCCTCCCTCCCTCCTCCACCCCTCCCGTCCTCTGTCCCGGTCTCGCCACCTCTCTCCCTCTGCACAGAGATTGTCTCAGGCTTTCCTCTCAAGGAGAGAGAACGAAGGCCGCTGCAGTGAGCAAGCATGCCAGGGCGAAAAGACGGCAGCCCAGATAGGTCTAGTGCGTTCAAGCAGGGTGCGGAGAGGTGGAGGAGGGAGCGGAAACCCTGGGCGCTGAACAGACGGTAGGAGGTGCCGTGGAGGGAGAGAGAGGAGAGAGCAGAGTTGGCCTGAACCAGAGCAGCTAGAGAGTGGCTGGAGACTAAGGGACAGTCGTGGATGGTCAGGTGGGTGAGTGTGTGGAGGGAGCGAGAGAGAGTGTGAAGCTCGAAGGGATCAACGGAGCAGGAGAGGAAGAAGAGGGAAGTGAGGGCAGGGAAGCGGTGGAGGGAGGAGAGGCAGGACTCTAGCTTTGCGGAGTGGAGGGTGAGGGTTTTGAGGGAGAGGCGGAGAGAGGAGGAGGAGGAGGCGAGGGAGGAGAGGGTGGAGGGTGAGGGGTTCCAGAGAGTGAGGGAGGTGAGGGAGGAGCGACGGGTGAGGGGGGTGAGTTTTGAGGCACGGATGAGGAGAGAGAGTGAGTGGAGAGCGGGGAAGAGGTGGATGGGAGGGAGGGGCGCGTGAGTACGGTGTTGGTAGGTGATGGAGCGACGGGCGAACGGGGAGTCGAGCTCGAGAGATGTCAGGAGGCTGAAAGGAAGGGCGGGAGGAGGGGGGGGGGGGTTGGGATGGGGGAGGGGGGGAAGGGACGGCATAAAGGAATGAGAACGGGGTGTGATTCAATTGGGAGCTGATGATGGGACGACTGGCGAACGGGGAGTCGAGCTCGAGAGACGTCAGGAGGGCGGGAGAGAAAGGAAGGCATGAAAAGAGGCGGAGGGGGGGGGGGGTTGGGGGGGGGGGGGGGGAATGGGGGAGGGGGGAGGGGGGAAAGGGACGGCATAAAGAAATGGGAACGGGGTGTGATTCAATGGGGCGACGGGCCAACGGGGAGTAGAGCTTGAGAGACGTCAAGAGGCTGAAAATGGAGGGGGGTTGCAGGGAAGGGTGAGGGATGAGGGAGGGTGGTGAGGGTGAGGGATGTGAGTGGTGTTGAATGGACGAAATGGTTCAAGCATCAAATGCGCGGAAGAGAGAAGAGAACCAGCACACTCACGGATTTTGAGACTTCTCAAAAACCGAGTTTTGAGACGTCCCAAATATGGACAAGATGGGTCAAGAATCAAATGCGCGGAAGAGAGAATCAGCACACTCACGGGCATTGCTTCGCGAGCTTCAACCACGCAGCAGCATTCATAAAGATCGGGGATACCCGCATGACTCAATGTAAGGACGGGATGGGTCAAGCGTCAAAACCGAGGACGAGAGAATCTGCACACTCACGGGCATTGCTTCGCGAGCTTCAACCACGCAGCGGCGTTCTTACAACGGGCGCTCGTGTGACTGAATAGAAGGACGAGAGGAGTAAATCAAATCAAATCAAATCAATTTAAATCAAATCAAATCAAATGAAGGAGGAGATGATCAGCTTGCTCACGGGCATTGTCTTGCAAGCTTCGTCCACGCGGCAGCGTTCATATAAAACCCCCGCCACGTCGCGACAAGCTTCAGAGATTCCAGTTTCGGGCAGCCCGCACCGATACTCGCCAGTAGGTCACTTCCCTGGCTCGAACGAACCTCCACGGTGAGCGAAATTATTCGGGTAAATACCCTCGAAAAGTCGTCGAAATCTTTGAGCCACCTGCGCGCGTTGGGGCACTTGAAGGGTGCGATGAAGACGAGATGGAGCGAGTGGGGCGTGCGGCGCGAGAGGCGGTGGAGGCGCGAGCAGGAGAGAGCGACGCTGCGGCGATCGCAGGGGTGGTTCGCACGCGCGAGAAGCAGGAGAAGGATGTCGTCCGGAAGCGACAGCAGGCGACTGCCTTTCGCATCATCCTTGAACGACGCTTCCCGCCGCGCTCTTTTCATGTTCGCGAACTAATTCGGCGAAGGGTAACGGCTAGGGTTACGCTTGTGAACAGACTGCGGCAAATGGGGGCTTCCTCACAGGTGCAGAAATAGAAGAACAAGCGAACAGAAGAACAGGTGGCAATGATGGAAAAAAAAACTTGGTCGAACAAAGTAAACGACTGCGGAAGAAAATAGCAAAACTGCAGGCATTGACCGAAAAACGCGCAGGCTATATGGAGAGGAGAGAGGCCTCCGCACTTTTCGGCGGGGAGAGTGACCAGAATATACCCGCTATGATGCGCTGCACCCTCCTCACCTCTAGGAATAGTAGCGTCGAGCACCGTGCATTTGGAACCAGTATCCTTGGCGGAAATAATCAGAGTGAATGATAGAAGTTGATGCTTATGATATTTTTAGAGGAAATTAATTAATCCATGAATTTTTTGAAGTATCCATACCATCAAAGAAGATTTTTTTTAATTATGAATATATTAATATAGCGTTTAGGGTGGAAAAGAATTATAAAGAGGCATTGTACAAAAGGAGTGTTCACATCTTAATTGGCATTAACAGGTCGAACCGTACTGCGGCTTTGGTCTGGTCTGGACCATTAGTGCAAGGATGTGGAGGCCCATTTTGTCGCGTTGCACTAGAAATCAGGGAGATCACAGCCCAGGTGTTCAAACAAGATTCCTCCCTCAATGTCACCGAAGCGCGGTTGCTCAAAAACGAAACCTCTGCTGCCGAACCAGCATCCCCCAATAACTAACCACCTGAGAATAAGGGTGCATTCCAATAGAATAACAGACGAAGCTTGGAACACATGAAGTTGGAAGCGAGTCACGGAATTGTGTGGAGGAAGCCCGAAGGCGGTTCAGGAAACCTGGAGAGTCTCTAACCCACACCGGTGGGGTTTCAGTTTTGATTGAGAATTTTGAATGAGCCCGAGACGTAACACATCATTCTGTACATCACACCGACTTGGTCACCTGTACATTACTGCAGCATACATTTCTGTACACGCCTCGCTCTCCAGGTCAGGATTCAGGAGCCTGGCCAGGATTCAGGAGGGCGACTGCACCAAACAAAGCCAGGCGTGGCAACACATTAGTGCAGCACAAGTACTTCGGTGACAGGCGATACCATGAATTGCTAACTAAGAATGCGTCTAAAGGGCATCACTATCACCACAATGCCGCCAATTTGCAGCGCAACTAACAGGACCTAGTCTAGAATTGCGCGAGCAGGTTGCAGTACTGTACTGTATTACTAGGGTCACTAGCGGCGGCGGCGGCGCGCCTCGCACCTTGGTCACAGCAATTGGTTCATTTTCAGCCTCGGCTCATGTTCAGCGTTTTCATCACACCTCTACTCGTTCCACCAATTTGCGCACTGTTTCTCGAGCGGCGTCGTGATCTAGTCTCTCCGCAGCATAACTTGTTGATCGTCGCGACTTAGTCTCTCCGCCTCGTATTCGGAAAACCTAGCGTCAAACCAGTTGGTTCCGTCGGGACCCCTGTGACCGTTAGAGTCGGTCAATCGTTAACTGATATGGTTCTTAGGAGACAGCTAAGTTGCGGTAGGAGGAGGCGAGGCGCGCGCAACGATTGCTCCTTGCCGCCGCTGCTGTCACTGCCGCTGCTCGTGCTGCTCGTGCTGGCCGTGTTTCCCGTGTCACGGTTACAAGGCACCGTAGGTATGCTTGCGTGTGTGTGGGGCGCGTTTTGAGGTGCCTCAAGTCGTGCTGCTCGTGCTGGCCGTGTTTCCCGTGTCACAATTCCAACGCACCATAGTACTAGGCATGCTTGAGTGCGCGGCTGCGCGCGTTGCGCGAGGTTTCGCGGGATGAGGGGGATGCGCGAGGGTGCGCGAGGGTGCGCGGGGATGAGCGGGGTTGTGCGAGGAGGCGCGAGGATGCGTGGGGATGACCAAAAGCGCGCGGGGGTGTGCGCGCAGATGTGCGCGCAGGGTTCCGCTTCCGAAAAAAAACTTTGGAAGATACTAGCGCACGAGTGCAAAGAGTTTAGCTGTGGAGGGGGGAGGGGAGGTGAGGCTACTATGTCGACAGGGAGGGGGGCCGCCTGGGCAGGAAGGAGCATCAGGGGAAGTGGAACCCGGGAGGTAGGGCAGGAGAATGAGAGGGTGGGGCGGATAACTCAGGAGTATCAGGGGAGGCAGGAAGTGGGAGAGGGTGGGGAGGGGGTGGAGTGGTAAGGAGAGGATGCGACAGGTGGAGCGTCCTTTTCGTGGTGGTTTTTGAGAATTCTCAAAAACCACAGCGTCCTTTTCGTGCTTCAACCTCCCTCCTCCCTACCCTGGCTTCCTTTCACACGCCTCCCAGCCACCACCTTCCGCTAACTCCCCCCCACCTTCCCAGCAGCAGCAGCAGATTCTGCCGTGACAGGAAGAGTAGGCCGCGCGTGGGGTGACGAAGGCGCAGCGACCACATCGTCATCACAAGCTTCCTCCTTCACCCACTCCCCTCCCCTTCATCCCCCTTTACCTTCCCCCCTTCCCCCCGCTTTCTTCCCCCCCACCCCCCCTTTCCCCCTCTCCCGCCCTCCTCCCCACCCTTCCCCCCCATCCTCCCGCGCATTGCGAACAGCAACGAATTTTGCCGACTCAACAAGCACGTGGGATGACGATGGACGCGACCTCATTGTCAGCACACTCTTCCCTTCACATTTGCCCCCTTCTCCCCAACTCTTACCCCCATTCCGCGCCCCCCCCCCCCCCCCCCCTCCCCCTCCCCCTTACTTCCCCCTCCCCCACCTTCCCAACAGCGGCGGCAACGGATTCTGCCGACTCAGCAGGCTTGGATGACGACGGCAGCGACCTCACTGTCATCACACTCGCGGATGCTGACGTGCCCGACATCGAAGACGACGACGACACGTCATCGTCTTCGACGGTTTCCACTGCTTCCGCGTCGCCCTCGTCTTCTCACCCGTTGGTAGTATCAACCTCTTCCTCTTCCTCCTCCTCCTCCTCCTCTTCCTCCTCCTCCTCTTCCTCCTCTTCCTCCGTCTCGTCCTCCTCTGCTCCTCCCTCCTCCTCCTCGTCCGTTCGTCGCTCTCGCTCCTCCTCCTCCGCCGCCGCCGCCGCCGCTTCCGCAGCTGCTCAAGCTACAAAATCCTACATAGTCCACCTATCCTCCGCTCCTCCGATCCTGACCTATCGCGGGGGCCTCATGGGCTTTAAAGCCACGGCGATTCCCGACGACGGCGACGACGACGACGATAGCGTCGACGACGACACTAACGACGGCGCTTTTAAGGAGGTTATGAGCAAGGTTCTTAAATCGCATGACGGGCCCGTCGCCGACGCTATGGAGAGCGCCGCGGCTGCCGTCGATTCTGCCGCGAAAATCGCCAAGGCGATACTGAAACGCGTCGAGTCGGCTGCGACGGCGGCTGTGAATAAGTTGAAAGACGCGAAGCAGAAAGCTGACCAGCGAGCGGAGTTAAACTTCTGGTCGCAGAGGCCGCGAAGCATCCCCGATATACTATCCCAACCCGTAAAGGACTTCCAGCAATTCCTCGAGCAGTCGCAGCGGCGAGTTCTCGCGAGCCTGAACATTGCGGAGGAAAATATTTTCCAGAGTTCCACTTTTACAGCGAATAGTTTCGCGGCGACGCTTACAGCAGCCGAAGTAAAGAAACTGAAAAAGCATCCCGCAGTTGCTGCGATCGAGCCAGATGTTTTGTTTACGAAGCTGACCACTGATTCGCCGAGGTTTTTGAAGCTGCCCGATACGCTGTGGCCTGCAACGGGCGGGCAGGACAGCGCGGGGGAAGGGATGGTCATCGGGATTGTCGACACGGGCATTTGGCCCGAACACCCCTCGTTCGGCGATCCGGTGGGTATCTGTCGCAGTATGGATGGGGGGCTCACAGTAACTCCCCCGTTCCCCAACTCCCTGCTGCATTGCACCCCAATTTCCTCCCCCCTCCGCCGTCCCGCTTCCCATGTTCCCCACTCCCCACAGTCTATCCCCAGGCCTACAAGCCCTACAAGCCCTACAAGCAAAAACCAGGCAGTGACGAGGTGGGTGTGAGTTTACCTCCCCTGCTCCACTCCCCACGTTCCACAACCCACTCATCCCCCTCTCTCCCACTTCCCCCGCCCCCCTCCTCCCTCCATTCCGCCAGGCCTACAAGCCCTACAGCAGGGCCCCCAGGCGGTGGCGGGGCAGGTGTGAGAAACGGTCAGATTTTAGCGCGTGCAACCGGAAGGTGATTGGAGCGCGGTTCTTTAACAAGGGCTTTAAGAGGAACGTGGGGGCCATCAGCAGCAGCGCCGACTATCTTTCCGCTCGGGATGCAGACGGTCATGGAACTTGGTGTGCAGGGTAAGTTAACTGATAATTAAACTCTATACAGGCAGGCCACAAATACATGGGGATATCAGCAGCAGCGCTGGCTACGTGTTGGATTGGATTGCGGATGGGCATGGCACTTGGTGTGCGGTGACTTTTGAGTCGACTCAAAAGTCAACATGGGGATATCAGCAGCAGCGCTGGCTACGTGTTGGATTGGGTAGCGGATGGGCATGGCACTTGGTGTGCGGTGCGGGGTAAGCTTTTATCAGACCGTTCCCCATCTGTCCCAACCCTTCTTCGCCCATTGCAGAGCAGCAGCAGGCAACGGCCATGTGCAGTATGCAGCAGGCACGGGCTATTCATACGGCAACACCAGCGGCATGGCTCCCCGCGCTCGCCTCGCCATTTACAAAGTCCTCTGGAAGCAGAGAAATGGGCAGACGCTCGCAACTTACTCGGACATCCGCGCAGCCGTTGATGCGGCCGTAGCCGACGGTGTGGATGTGCTCTCCATCTCCCTGGGAGGGAACATTCCGAGTTACTTCTCAGACATTGCCTATCTCAATGCTGCCAAGGTGAGCGAGGCAAGAATGTTTTTCAAATGTGTCCAATTTTATCCCAGATTGTTACTGTGGCTCTGAAAAATAAGAGTAAAATATCATTATTTTTAGCATGACCCATCCCTTGTTTGACCCCATCAAAACTATCTCCTGCACTGCACACTACCCCAGGCTGACCCATCCCTTGTTTGACCCCGTCTCCTGCACTGCGCACAACGCCAGGCTGGTGTGTTCATTGCAATGGCGGCGGGGAATTCTGGGCGCCCGAATCCAAAAAGGCTGGTCGGCACCATTGGGAATGCCTCGCCATTCTACCTCACTGTTGGCGCCAGGTACGCATGGGCTTGTTGCGGGCGTTGTTGGAAGTTACTTTCGATGGCCTATGACATGTGTCCTTCCTTCCTTTCTTTCTTTCTTTCTTTTGCTCCCCACTCCCCCTTTCTCATTCATTCCCTGTCTCTCTCACTCCATCTCCCCTTCCTGTCACTTCCCTTGTTTCGTCTCCCCTCTTATCTCACACCCTCGCCCCAATCATCCCTCAGCTCCATAAGCCGGTACTACAATTTGCAAATGACCCTCGGCGACGGGTCGCAAATCACTGGCGTGGGAAGTACCCCTCCTCCCATAGGCACTAACGGCGCAGTCTCTCTCATAGGATCCGGGACCGTGACGGGGACCAGGACAGGAAGTGGGGGTGTGGAAGGAGGGGGAACAGGCGGAGGAGGGGATAGTGGCGGCTGCAAGAGTGGAAATGACAATGGTGATGCTGGTGGTGATGCTGCTGGTGATGCTGCTGGTGATGCTGCTGGTGGTGATGCTGCAGGAGGTGATGTTGCAGGAGGTGATGTTGCTGGCACTGCTGGCAATGATGCTGCAGGCGGTGATACTGTTTCTGATAACACGAGTGACAGCAGCAGCAGCACTGGTAGTGCCGATGGCTCTGTTGATGGTGCTGATAATGGAGCTTCAGACGATAGCAGTGACGTCAGCAACAGCGACAGCAGCACCAGTGACAGCAGCAGCAGCAGCAGCAGCAGTAACGGCGGCAGCAGCAGCAGCAGCAGCAGTAACAGCGGCGGTGTTATCAGTTGCAGCAGCACCAGTGGGAGCGGAGCCACCACAGCCTCGGCAGACCCAGAAGCCTTTCTTTCTGACTCCTCTGAGAGCTCTACTACCGACAGTTCTTCTAACGACATCTCCTCAACTGCAGTCACCTGGACAGACTCAACACCAGTCGTAAATGCCCCCCCTTCCTCTCTTGATGACTCCGTTCCTTGGGTAATTTGCAACTATACCTCCTCCGATTCCTCTCTCTCCGCTTGCACGGCTGAGGCACCATCAGCAGGAGCGGTGCTGGTGGTGGGAAGCAGCGCCTCTCCCTCAGGCCTCGTCAGCACACAGAAGCTTAAAAGGAAGACGCCTCAAGCGGGGATGTTCGCAACGCTCAAGGAAGTCGCAGCAGGAGCGGGAGGAAGACCCGCGATTGTTCTATCTGTGGAGCACGGGGAGATTCTGAGAAAATATCTCGAGTCTACAGATAACCCGTCAGCGGAAATCACAGCATCGTGGACAGCTATCGACCCCACGGCTCCCGTAATCGCGTCTTTTTCCTCTGCTGGTCCCGTCGTCAGCCCGCGATTTAAGATTTTCCCGCCTTTCACACCAACGAACAACATCCTGAAACCGGACATCATTGGTCCGGGCTGCGACCTCGTTGCTGCCATGCCGGGAGATCCCGCCAGCGCTGGCTCGGATTCTGCAGCTGACCAATCAGCTTCGTCGGATAACTCTTTATCTTCCTCCGGAGATTCAACCCCAACTGACGGCTCGACTCCACCTGATGGTTCTACGTCTGGGGGTGATACCCCAGACTCGGCACCAATCAACTCCGAACCCCCAAGCACCAATTCTGGCTCGGGGGCTTCCACCTCAGCTTCGGGCTGGGGTCTCAACCCCCAATATCCACAGTCACGGGATTTCACGTACCTTTCCGGGACTTCCATGTCTACACCTCACATCGCGGGTGTAGCTGCTCTAATAATGCAACGAAGGCCACACTGGACCCCGGCTCAAGTTATGTCAGCATTAATGACAACAGCATACACTGATAACGGGGTCAAGAAGCCGATCAAAAGAGAGGCAGTGGGTGAAGCCACACCATTGGATATGGGAGCTGGGCACATCAATCCGTCTCGTGCTTTGGATCCCGGGTTGACGTATAATACCCGTTTTCGGAGCTACTTACGGTTCTTGGCGGGACAAAGCTTCATCCGGACGAAGCGGTTCTTCCCCTTGGTGCCGTTTATTGTGCCAATGAGGGCATACAACCTCAACCGGCCGTCAATCTCTGTTACAAACCTCGTCGGCATTGCGTTTGTTACAAGGAGAGCCACAAATGTGTACTCTGAAACGTCAACTTACAAAGTTACAGTTGATCCACCCACGGGTGTCAAGGTGAGTGTCTGGCCCACCAAATTCACGCTGCGTCCCGGACAAACAGCCACGTATGTTGTAACTATATCGTCGTTGAAGCCGGTTGGGACATTTAGATTCGGGTCGATCACTTGGAGGGATGAGCATGGTCATCATGTGCGCAGCCCAGTTGTTGTAAGATCTGCTTTTGTGTAGGGTGTTTCCCTACCTTAACCAATCTTGTATGTTTTGCTTCTTTTTATCTGTTTGTTCTGTCTATAAAATCTTACTCCCTATCTATCTGATCTGAAAAGCAGTGCAACAGTGATGTTCCAATTCACTAGTGGATTGTATATTAGTGCATGTAACAGAGAAGTTGGTCGTGAGATAGGGTCGTCGAAATCGAGAATTGGAAGAAAGGAATTTCTGGGTTCATGGATAAAGGTTCTTGTCTAACAGAGGAGCCTATTTAGGACCCAGCCTACTGCTAGTTTAGTTGTGCCGTCCAACCGAGGAAGTTGGAACTGCACACTGTCTCTATTTCTACTTTTATGTCCTTTTGTTTCATTCTCGGTTTCCGGCCGACTTTATTGGAAAGTTCATCTGTCGGTTTTGTCGCCAATGCTCTGGCGAATCAGATACGTTGTCCTGCCTTGCCGGGATATTAGCTTCCTCATTATCACCTTCCTCACCCCTCCGGCCGCATAAGAAACGCCTTAGCGGTTCACCCGCGACGGGTGTTTCGCTTCTCGAATCTTTCCGCCGCCTTGCTTCGTTATAAGCGTCATCACTTCCCGCTGTTGTCATCGTCAGCTTCTTCACCCACCCCGGCCCAGCCGGAGCTCGTCCATCCGAGGAAAGCCTCCGCCGTGAATCGCCGGGGGTTGCGGATCGTCTGCGGCGACGCCCATCTGACACGTGGCATGCGCGCTCCGGGCCCCGTGCTCCGGAATTCCGCGAAAAACACGCCGTTCTTCTTGGCAAGCTTCACGGTGTCCTCGTCCCACGTGAGCCATCCGTCAGGTTGGATCTCCTTGGGCAGGAAGCAGTTGATGAAAATGGAAGTCCCCGTGTTGGCCCACGGCCGTCCCAGATATGCTTTCCCCACACCCGCGTCCGCACTGATTACCGCATCCCTGATAATAATCCCCTTGGGATCCGGATACTTGGGATCGTTCTGCGGCGCCGTGATAATAACCGGATCGTCCGGATGAAGCCTGATTTGCGGGCGATCGAAAACGGCCGCGGATTTCCCGAAAATGAAGTCAACGGTGCCGCCGACGCGGCAGTCGCGGAAGTACTGCCGGCCGCTGTGAGGGTAGAGCGTGTCTTGGGCGCCGTCGAACTCGCACTCGAAGAAGGCTGAGAGGTCTTTAGAACGCAGCGCCACTGCCTGCTCGCCCGCCGGCCCCGCCGTGTTTCGCACGGTTATTCCCAGCGCTGTTAGCATGCCCTTGTTGGCGCCTGGGGACGAGGGGAAGTGGGGGAATAAGTGGCACGGGAGTGAGAGAGAGAGAGAGAGAGAGAGAGAGAGAGAGAGAGAGAGAGAGAGAGAGAGAGAGAGAGAGAGAGAGGAGTGGGGAGCTAGAGGAGGGAACGCAGCGCCCTTGTTGGCGCCTCGGGAGGGGAGGGGGGGGGATGGCAATAATTCTTGCAGTGATGTTTTTTTTTTTTTTTTTTTTTTTTTTGCAGTAGTGATGGAAATCTATTGTTTTTGCAGATTGACAGAGACAGAGTGGATAAAGAGACCAAACGAAGGGGGAAGGAGGAAGATTCCGTACCAATAGTAGCGGAGTTGTAGGTTGTTGATCCGCCATTCACACTCTTCTTGCCAGTAATGATAGTGTTGCCAATTCCTTCTCCAACTAGGACAATTCCCTTGTTGTCGAAGATAATCTGCTCGTCGTACACTCCCGCCTTGATGAAAATAACAAACGTTCCTTTCATTGGTGCGGAACCAATTGCAGCCTGCAAGAAACCAGGGTGAGCAAAAAGGAACTTTTTTTTTTTATTATTATTAGACACAGGAAAATGGTACTGCACGTAGCCGTCACACCAACCTGTGTCCGTCTACTTTCACCGCTAGCCGTCACATCATCCTTACCGTGATCGTCTTATGGGTGCCGGAGCCGTCCTTAGCGACGATCGCATCCACCTGAGACGGCAGCAGGCTGCTGTACTCGCCCTTGAAGTCCCCGGTATCCAAAAGCCCTCCCATATTCACGCCCGGTTTCCCGCCGTTTTTCCCCCCGTTTTTCCCGCCGTTCTTCCCGCCGTTCTTCCCGCCGATCTTCCCGCCCGTCCCGCCGTGATGGCCGCCCTGGCTCTTCTTGCCGACGCTCTTGGAAACTGAACCTGAACCCGAACCCGAAGTCTGAAGTGCCCTCCTAAGCTGGTTACCAGCTTCGTAAGAATCGCCCGCTTCCCCGCCATGAGCATAATCTACACCCGCAACATCCACGCCGAGAAGCCTCCGCGCGCCCTCCGAGGTATCCCCCCCCATGTGCGCCGCCTGAATCCTCTTCAGGTGCTCGAAAAGACTCGGGGCTACCCACCCTGGCGCGTCGCTTCCGCCTGATTGGTCGGTTTCCCTCGTTATCCGGCGGCGAGGAGGTGAAGCGTAATCGTACTCGTAAGCATCGGCGGAATAGTCGGCGGGGTAGTCGTCGGAAATATCGGCGGAAGAATTTCCGCCTGCGGAGGCGGAAAGCTCGTCGTCCTCCCAAAAGCCTTCGATTGCGGAAGGGGTGAACGCGTGGGCTGCGGTGACTGTGACTGTAATGAGCGTGACCTCCCCCTGAAGTCTCACTCCCGGCGCCGTATCCAGCGCTTCGGGCGCAAATTCCTGCAGCCCCTCCACGCAGCTGTCGATGTTGGCTCGAGCTGACGTCAGCAGGTACGGCAGGTCGTCAACGGAAACCGTCCGATCGGCCGGAAACGTTGGACGGCCGTCAGGACGTCGATTTTCCGTAGTGGATTTTGAACCGTTGATTGCGGCGGTGACGGCGCCCATTGAGTCCGCGAGATTGTCGAGTGCCATGGATATCTGCAAAGGAGAGCAAGGGACGGAGCGTGGGAGGGAGGATTGACAGTTCAGAAAATTGCAATTGGAGCAGATATCTGTGCGGGACGAGGGAGAGAGGAACATTGGCTGGAAATTCGCAGATTGCAGTTAGTTTTCAGCGGCATTTCACTGAGGATTCGTTAGCAATTTCAGCTGCGAAGTGTATTTTTTCTATATTGTCCCCAATATAATGTACCTGGTGAATGCAGTCAATCGCTGCCGCGTCTGTCAGAGAACCTTCGTCCGCGTTTTCCGCCTTTAGCTGCGCCACGTGATCCATCGTCGCTTGCGCGCGCTCCATTGCGCGCCGAATGAGCGCCCGCTGCATTTCACGAGCAGAATCCGTGCGCAGCGAACGTCGCGCGGCGCCGACTTCCGCAGAGCAGAGGGCGGAGTGCTCGGACAGGAGAGCGCATGCGTCGGGCAGCGGCAGATCTTCGGTGAGAAGCCGCGCAGTAGATTGACCAATTAGAGCAATTGAGAATGCGACGACGAGAACGAAAGGGCTGTATGCCCTCGAGCCCATTCTATGGACTCCCATCGTCCGTGAAGAGACAAAATCACCTCCCAGTCGCTTTAATGCCGCTGGCTGAAACGACTAACACAGCACAACTGAGCTAGCACTGGGTTCTAGTTATGGCGGATTCAGGAATTGGAAATACTTGTGAGGAATGCTTGATGACCTTCAAGCTTGAAGAGTACGGATTAGTCGAGAATCATGATTCGTGGATCAACTTACAGCTCAGAACAAGGTACTACTCAACATGCGTCTCGAGCCTGGATGGTTTCTTGCGCGGTTCGAGAAGGGGGGTTGAGGGGGTGGGGGGGGGGGGGGGGGGGAGGGGGGAGAGCTGCTGACGTGTCCTCAGACAACTCTCCGTAACTCACGCTAGTGTCGAAGGCAAATAATTGTACACAAATAATGTTGTCCTCTGGTCTGGCTGATTCAAGCACGGTAATTATTGTTGTACGGAACTTCCCCAGGAAAATATGCAAATAGTAACCAGCATAGTAACGTGAATGATAAATAAGTGACGTGTACGGTCACTGTATTGGGTTTTCTGACGGGTTTGGTAAGTGGGGTCACGGATTCAGTCACTAACAACAGGTAAAAAATCACGCGAATGGTCACACATGTAACTCAAGCCAAAAAAACCTGAAACGCTACAAAATTCCCACTCGCGTCCAACCAATCTGCTAGCTTCTAACAAAACTAAAACCCAATCGGAATCAGATGTGGTTTGGGAACGGATCAACCCTAAACACCGGGAGAGTTACGTCTTTGGGGTTGATTCGTCCGAAAATGAGTCCAAGTCTCATCTGGGTTTATTTTTTTGGCGGGAGTTTCATCTGTGACCATTCGCGTAATTTCTTACCAGTTAAAAGTGACTGATTCCGTAAAACGCTTTATCAGTCGCGTGAAAAAACCCTTTGCACTGACCGTACCCAGTATTTTTTTTTACTAAAAATGTTGACGGGTCTTATGTTGGTAACGACGGACATATTTTCCCCACTATTCGGTAGATCAACACGGTGGCACAATAGCTCACTGTATATGCTAATGTATGATAACAAGGAATACACAGCCTAGAAACATCATTAATTGAATTGTAGATGTATGTAAAAGATTTTTTTTTTCGACATTCCTTACTGCGCCGTTCAACATCGCGTACAGCAAAAGCCATTTGTTCGCCCGTTACTGCTAACGGGGCTTCGCCAACTTCGCGCGCACTGTTTCACCAAACCATGCACCGCTGGCCCGGCCGAGTCGGCCTACGCTTCGGGACTAGCCCGAACCTCGATGCTAGCCTAGCACTAGCTAGCTCGCACGCACCGCGCTACCGTTTGCACGTTTCGTGTATAAGTATTCGCTCATGCCTTCACTCGTACTTCGTACTTGTTTGACACCTTAGTGCAATCCTCACTATCCCGTTCCATTGCACCCGTAACACTTGGTATTCAGAGCCACCTTCCTTTCAGACCGCGCATCTCCGCACCCAGGGAAATCAATTTTTGATTTTTTTCACTTGAAGGGATTTACGCCCCATTAGCGCCTAGGAGTCGCTGTCCTCGCGTTATCTCATAAACGCGTACAGCCACGACTGCGCTAGAGCTAAACCGAGCCGCCGTCCTTCGAAATGGTCGAGCATATTGACGTCACAATACTCACGCAGGAGCGCCTGAACCAACAGCTGCAACAGCTGCACGAAAGCACCGAAGAAATTGCGGCGCTGACTGCAGAACGCACGTCACTGCAAAACGGCTTCGCACGGGCGCAACACGCATAATCACAGGCACAAGGCACACAAGGACAAGCAACACGCTTAACTTCACAACAAGGAAGGGTGGGACAACATTCGAGCGCGGCTAGTGATGGCGTCGCCCGCAACGACGGAGACGACGACCACGGCGCGACACACCCCGAAGCGACGAATGCGACCAAAAGCCAACTTCGCGTTACGATTTCGGTGCCGACCGGCGAGTCAGCACTGCCGTCGCCGATGCTGCTTGAGCCGCAGCGTCCGCCTTGCTTCGATCCCAGCCAATAGAGTGACCCTCCCGTTCAGGCGTGGTTATTCACGATGAACGTCTTTTTCAACGCGAACTACGTCTCGGAGGACTCGGCGAAGGTTCGCTACGCCGTTCGCTGCTACAGGGACCCGCCATGACTGGTGGCGCGTCATTATCACGAAGCCGGTGGACTAAGAGACTCTACCGACACGGGAAGGACAAACCGGACCCTGGGCGCCGTCGTATTTCGTAGAAGTGCCCCAGTATCGCACGTGGGACGCGTGGTGCGCAGGTCTGCGCGCAAGATGCGAGCAGATTGTGGCTTCGATCTCGGCACATCAGAAGCTCCGCACTTGGCGAAATCTCGGTTCCGTCCAGGACTACACCAGCGGGTTTCGGGCGCTGTGTGAGCAGGCGGGCTATATGCACGAGGACGAGTGCATCGATCGCTACATTGGCGGTCTGAAACATGAAATCGCCCAAGAAATCCAACTCCGCAACGTCACCGAATTTCAAGACATTCTCGCTATGGCGGAGAAGCTCGACTTCTTACGCCGACCGAGACCGGGGTCCTACGGCAACAGCATCGTCTATGGACATTGGCCTCGTGGGCCAAACGAGCACGCCACTATACGCGCTGTCGCCGCGAAAGCTGCTGCCACACCATTTAAAGGGCGCTGCTTCGCGTGCTACAGGCTAGGGCACCACAAAAGCGAATGCTAGGAAAACGCTAAGGGAAAGGGGGAAGCTCCGCGGCAGAAACATACCAAGCAGCAGGGAAATGCTGGGAGTTTGTAGTGGACGGGCCCTCTACTGACAGGTCACGCCGCTCGCCCAACATAACCGACCCTCACCGAGTGATTGTATTGGTTCATGCAATCGACCACACCCGGCCAAATAAGGAGGGTACAACGGTACACAACCCCATATTGCTTAGCATGAAGATATAGACAGACTTAGTTAAAATCTTCGTAGACGGGGGAGCAAGCCACAACCTGATCAACACTGCCACAGCGGGGAGACTGAAACTGCTGAGAAATGTTTACCTGAGATCGATGCATGACTGGTCGACGGCACGCCATTGGCGATACGGGAACATGTGGACCGAATTCGGATCCGATGTGGGGGTAGCTTCACTTACCTAGGAGATGCTCGCAACGACCCTCGACGAGACCGACATATTTCTTGGCCGTGATTGGCTGCGACGATACAATCCGCGAATCGACTAGACAACGGGTAACTGCACCGTGTGAGTGAACGATAACAACATCGCCTTAACTTGCTGGAGCTCGCCTGAGTCTTCGTTAGTGCGTGTCAACGCAATCACGATGAAGTGAGCTGACGTGTATGCGGTCGACATCCGGGAAGCCGAGGTAGTAGACAAGGGGAGTGATTTGCAGAAACTGCTCGTCGACGTACCGGGTGACCTGGCAGCGCTACTGAATCCGTACAGTGAGATATTACGGGACGACTTGCCAACGAGACTGCCACCCCAGCGACTGCACGACCATAGGATAGAACTGGAACCGGGGGCACAACCAACAGTACAGCGACAGTTCCGACTGACCGAACCCAAACTGGATGAGCTACGGAAGCAACTGGATTACCTGGTCGAGAAACAGTTCATTCGCCCGAGTTCGTCTCCCTTCGCCGCACCAATATTGTTAACAGTGAAGAAAGGGGATTTCGCATGTGCATAGATTACCGCGCACTGAACCGAGTTACCATCAAATCCCGTTACCCCATCACACGAGCCGACGAACTGATCGACCAACTTTGCAGATCCCGTGTCTTCTCGAATTTTGACCTTCGAGGAGGTTACCACCAGATTCGCATCAATCCGCCCGACTGCCCGAAAACTGCCTTGCGAACCCGTTACGCATCATTCGAATACATCGCAATGCCCTTCGGACTGACCAATGGCCACGCCACTTTCCAAATGATAATGAACGAAGCGTTCCGCCCGCTTTCAGATAAATGCGTCATCGTCTACTTAGACGATACACTGATTTATAGCCCAGACCGAGCACAACACCTACATGACATCGAAGTAGTTGTTAAAATACTGAGTGAGAACCGCCTACTGACGAAAGCATCTAAGCGTGAGTTTCTACAGGACAGACTGGAGTTTTTAGGGCACATTATTTTAGCTGACGGAGTGGAAATAGATCCGAAGAATATCGCGACAATTCAAGCATGGCACGCGCCGACAAACTTGACTAAGCTGCAGAGTCTCTTGGGGTTCGTCAACCACGTGCGTCGGTTCGTCCCTGACATGGCGAAGCTGACCGCCCCACTGACAGATTTACTGAGGAAGGGGGTTGAGTACATAAGGGGGGAGAAAGAGCAAGCTGCCTATTTAGCCCTCAAACAAATTTTGTGCTCGTCTCCCGTACTGCACATCGCCGACCCACACCGCCCGTTCGAACTGGTCACCGACACAAGCGACATCGCCGTGGGAGCAGTACTATTGCAGGACTTCGGGAACGGCCTTCAGCCAATCGCGTACGAGTCCCGCAAGCTTCACCCGCTCGAACACAACTATTAGATACACGAACGCGAAATGCTGGTGATTGTGCACGCGTTCAAAGTGTGGCGATGCTCAGGGCTGACATTTCATATTTTGGACTCCCTGACGAGGATTTTTTTTTCTTTTCTTTTTTTCCGTTTAGCCTGAAGGTACTTCAGCCAAAAATGGCCACTCTACTTGCTTCGTCTCAAAAAAATGCATTGTCTGTTCAGTCAGGGTCGTGGGGTCAGTGTACCGACTGTTGCAAAATGTCAAAACTTTTGGCATCATCCACATTTCCAATCATG